ATGTGAAAATACATCTCAGTGACAAACCACCACTTTAACTAACTAAACAACAAAAAAAAAACGCAGAGAACTCATCAAGCCAAGTTTAAGTCTGGGATCTGACTTATCCAGTCATACCATCAGCTGGGATCATGAGTGCCCTTATCTGCACTGTCCCCTAATGGAAATACTTTCCAACTAGCCTGCGGAATCCTTAATCATTTTAATTGCTACAGTGTAAAAGATACTTAAGTATTAATGCTTGGCAATGGATATTGTGATGAAAGGTGTCTGTTTAATCAAAGGGTGTTAGTATTGTGTTGGGTTCATGAGTGGGAGTGTAAACATTGAGGGCTGTTAGCTTCTTTTTGGTTTAGAATTGTCAAGAATTGACTTCAGCTTAGAAATCACAAAGATTTGGAAGTTTGTGTAGCTTTTGAGAAAACCTGACTGTGGTCAGAAGTACAATATAATTTTCCTCCTAGAAGGACATATAGAATCCTTCAAACAATAAGTTAGCTTGATAGAAAGATTCATTTGAATAACCTCTCGACTAGCAGTATTTGGTTAGAAGTTTGCAGAATGTGCTGAGAAAGTCTCTAAACTTTCAGTTTTGCAACTATTCATATGGGAGAACTTAACAGTTCACTGCAAAATTGGTAAGAATCAGTGGAGTCAAACTCAAATGTTTGAGATAGAAGGTTACTTTCTCTGATTGTGAAACTGTAACATGATGGTGTCGGGGAGCAGCTTGTTTTGCTGTGTTTTAACATCTCTAAAACGGTGTTCTATATTCAGCTTGGTTTGTTTGTTTCTTTGTGTAATAAATTACTGTATTATATTTAAAGGAATCTGGAAACTGGGCAAGGCCATCGTTCACTGAAATTTAACTTTTAAAAACTATCTTCAAGTCCGATTCATTTTGGGTTCTGTTTGTCCAGTAATAACTTTAGCTGGCACTGTAACAATATTTTATTAATTTAGCTGAGTACTTCTTTTTCAGATAAAGAAGAAGGTTGTCAAATCAATGACAAAGACTGAAAAAGAAGAGGAAAATTCCCTTGCTTATAAAACAGTTATTCAGATCTCTTCAAAAGACCAACTTAACATTACACTGTCAAAGTGTGGTTTGACCATGCTTAATAATTTGGCAACGGTAAGAAATGCATTATTTTAAAAAAGTACTTTGTGCTTGATTAGTTGAACAGTGGTTTACTTTTTTATGATTGGAGCTTTATGCTTAGATAAAACTTAGAGCACACTTCTAATTTGACAATAATAAATACTAAGATAGTTCATTCTTCTCAGAATGTAGTTGAAGCACTAAAGTGCAAGTATAAAATTAATTTAATATTTACCTCTTTTAGTTAAGTCCATTGCACCCGCACAAATTCTGTCAACCCACTTTACATCAAATTGAAGGTGGCAGTCCTGGAATTTCTGATTTACTTGGAATGTATCCAAGTGCCTTGTTATAACTTGTTATAGCATTTTCCTATGACAGTTATTAAGCTAGCTGGCCTAGTAGTTTCCTTCTTTCTGCCTGCCTTTGCTTTTGAACAAATGAATTAAATATGCTGTCTTTCAATCTAATGGGACCATTCCTGATTAAGAGGGTTTTGGAATACTAAAACCAATGGATCAATTTTCTCACTAGTCACTTAAGATCTTAGGATGACATCTGTAAGACCAAGAAACTAAATAGAGGCGAAATACTGTGGATACTGGAAACTTCAAACCAACACAGAGAATGCTACAGATACTTAGCAGCTTCTGTGGAGAGAGAGAGAGTTAATATTTCCAGCCCAGTATGACTCTTCAGAATTCAAATTACTCTGAAGAAAATTTTATAGTGGACTTGAAATGTTAATGCTGTTTCTCTTTCTACAGACCTACTGGGCTTCTCAAGCAATCTCCATTTGATTGAGACCTGGGCCCTTATCTGCCCCCTGTTGCAATAATGTACTCAGTACCACTTCTCTGGTGACTTATTAATTTGTTGCTGCCTGTGAAGACTACCTGTCTTCACTCTTAGAAAATGCCTGTTCATTTCATCTGCTAGTTCCTTATTTTCCATTATTAAGTCTCCTGCCTGACTTTCTATAGGACTAGCGCACAATGCCTCTTCTTTAAATATTTATGTAAACTCTTACTGTTTTTATACTTCAGGTTAGCTTTATCTCATACCCTAATTTTTCCCTTTTTTTAATTATTTGGTTATTCCTTGTATAGAATGTAAAACACAGCAACTTCTGACCTGTCACCTGTCTTTGCAAAATTGTATGCCTTGTTTGATTGCATTTTTAACCTTTGCAGTTACCCAGGAATGGTGAGTGTGACCTTTGAATGTTTTGCTCTTCACTGGCATGGATGTATTATATGTATTCTGAAATATCATCAAAAATGACTAAGGATATAAGCCTTTCTGCCAATTCACTTCAGCCAGCTTTGCTTTCATACCCTCATAATTGTCCTCCCTTAAACTGAAAATAGTTTGAGGGACTTGCTTCCTCAAACTGTATAGAATTCAACCACATGATTGCTGCTACCTCCATATTGCCTGCATTTATGAGATCATTGAATAATCCTACTTAATTGTGGAATACCTGGTCTAGTATACCCTGCTCTCTGGTCAGCTCCTTGATTTGCTGTTCTAAGAAATTATCCTGAAAACATTCAATGAACTCCTCATCTAGACTCCTTTGCCCATCTCATTTTTCCAGTTGATATGTAGATTGGAATCTCCCCTGGGTATTGTTGTGCATTTCTGACCAGCTTGCCCCTTTGTTTCTTCCTTTTATGTTCCACCCTACAGGTTGCCATCATGGGTGCTGTACACCACTGTCACAGGAAACTTCTTGCCTTCATTATTTTTCATTTTGACCCAAACTGCTTTAATAAATCTTTGACTCCTGAACTAGATCGGCCCCCTCAATTGTACTGTTAAATAACAAGTCAACCTCTCCACCTTTTTCCTCGTTTCCAGTCATTCCTAAAAATGTTTCGTACTTCTGAAGATTCAAGTCCCAATCCATATCATTCTGCAGCCATACCTCTGTGTTGGCTGCTAGATTGTACTGTTCATCTCCGTACTCTCATTTCTTTTTTGTTTTGTTTTGAATGCTACGTGCGTTCACTGTCAAGTCCTTAGATGTATCTTTTAATTCTGTACATAAATTGTTGTATCTGTTGATTGTCTTTCAGATTCATACTCTGTCTAATTCTTCCTGTCATGGTTTATCATTTCCTGTGTTAATACCTTCATCTTTGACCTTGACTTTGCTCTTTAATATATTGCATTGTTGCAAATTTGAGTCATTGCCCCCACTATCTTGTTTCAAGAGGTTTGGAGACCACATCTGGAGTACTTTGATCACTTTTGGTTTCCTTATTTAAGGAAAATTAGTTCAGAGAAAGTTCGCTAGAATGATGCCTGGTATGGAGGAATTGTCTTATGAGCAAAGGCTAAATAAGTTATGATTCTAATTGTTGGAATTTAGAAGAATGAGAGATGACCTCATTGAAATATTTCAGATTCTTAAGTGGATCAACAGGTTAAATGCTGAAAAGATGCTTCCCCTTATGGGAGAGTCTAGGACCAGAAGGCATTATCTCAGGTTAAAGGGGTTCTTGTGGCACTGTAATTGTGCCTGGGTTCAAGTCCCACCTGCTCCAGAGGTGTGTAACAAAATCTCTGACTAGGTTGATTACAGCACCTGCAAGCTTCATGCCTTGAAAGGATCTCTAATTTAAGATTGATCTGAGGAACAATTTCTTATCTGTTTGGGAGTCTCGGAACCCCATGCTGTACAGAGCTGAGGGGCCAGAATCCCTGTGTATATTTAAGGCTGAGATAGACAGACTTCTGATTTAGTGGGGCAATTAAAGGTCACAGTGAAAATGCAAGAAAGTGGACATTAGGAATAGCAGATCAGCCGTGATCCTTTTGAGTGGCACGGAGCAGGCTTGAGGAACTGAACAGTCTACTCATGTTCCTATTTTTGTGGTTTTATTATTCAGGTTAAAAATCCTCTCGACTTCCCTCATTATGCAGTTCATAAGAGTACTGACCCCAGCCCTGTACTGATGCCATACCCTACAAACCAAAATGCACTTCTACCACACCAAAGTTTTGAGCTGCACATTCATTTCTCTGATCTGATTTCCCAGATGGAAATTTGCATGTGACTCCGGCAATAATACGGAGACTATGACCTTTTGAGGTTCTACTACTTTATTTTTCTCCAAGTGTGACATTGTCAGTTGTTGGTCACCAGCAGGAGGTTTCCTTTTGTTTGCCTAGAAGTCATGAAACGTCATGGGGCTGGATGATCTTGAGGAAGCCCAAACCTAACTCCACTTGACCGTAAGCTAATATGACATCAGCATGAATCTACCTTGCATCTACCCAGAAAGTACCACAAAAAGTGTGTTAATGCCTCATGATCAATTTGAACTAGTCTGGGGCAGCTCTATCAACTGATAGTGTTAATGAGGATGTCTTTATGGAATTAACTGGGCAAAGATTGTTTTTTGTTGTACTCTATACATTAGCTGGATTGTTACTATACAAGTCTGATTTATTTTACTTCAAGCTTGTAATAATTCCCTTACGTCTGATCATAACTTATTCTTAACCCAAACTCTTGCCAAGCTGAACCGAGGATATTTCATTATGGGCACCTCAGCAAACTTGTCAGCATTCTGATCTTGACCATTCCAAATATGGTGATGGGTTCTGTTTGCAAGACTCCAAACTAACCCAAATAAAAGTGTTTTATGGATAAAAGCTGTTAAATCATTGAATGATATTGTATTATATAAGAGAACTTTGTTTGGAATCTAATGTTTTGTGAATTGTTACTTGTAATGTCTGATTAATATGACTGTTGACAGAGAGAAATGAAGATATAGTGGCATCATGGAGTTACTCAGAATTTATAGCACAAAACTTGCAAATTCTTCAATTGTGTTTATCCTGCAGTAACTTTATAACTGGCAATTGACCATTTGACAAAGAAATTCTGCTATTTTCATGTTTTAATTTAAAACTAAAGAGTAAATAATATTACCTCAGTACTACAATAAAAACGTCAATAAGAGGCTAGTAAGGAAAAATATTTGGACTTTAAAGTTGCTGTGTTTCTTGAATATTCCCATCCTCCAACATTGGCTTGTATTTATTTGAAACAATGTCACAGAAAAGGACTTTAATGTCTTTGGAGAACCTTTGCAAATTTGCACAGTATGCAAAGGTGAGATTCATCCTCTATCATCGGTTTTTGCCTGTGTTAAATTCTTTGCTCTATGGTAAGTATTTCAGCCATTTTTAATTGTAGCATATGTAGATGAAGCCTTCAGGTTAACAACTTTAATACATAGGTCTTCAGAAAGACAGTAACCATATTGATATAAAGCTGACTGAGTGATAGGGGACAAGGTTGTGTTTTAGAATTAACCAATGCTGGAGAAACTCAGCAGGTCTGCCAGCATCTGTGGAGAGAAATAGCGTTAACATTTCAAGTCTAGTGTGACTTAGTTTGGACTGAAAAGAAGTATATGGTGGGGCCCTGGGATTTGGTACTAGGACCAGGGCTAGGGTTTCCTCAAGCCGTGTAAAACTTGGAAAAGGATGGAATTTGTAAATGACTTACCCAAGCAGAACAATGCTGAAAATTATTGAAACATCATTGAAACATCATGGAATTTTATCAAGATAGGAATGAGATCTTTCCACATTCCTGGACAAATCCAATATTGTTCCAACGTCCACTTCCATCTCTCAGTAATGGTTTACTTAATTTTTCACATTTGAGTCCAGAACTTTTGTTCTCTTGTCAGTTCTTGCCTGTTGCTGATCAACTGATTGTTTTGGAGAACAACAGGAGTCATCAGCTAAGTAGCTGACCGGTCAAAGCCAGTCTGGTGACCAGCTTGGCTGCTTTGGGCATGGCTAAAATAACAGCAGTAATTAGCTAACAAGAAACTGAATTGGGTCATTAAGGGTTTGGAGTAGATTTGTAGCTTGGGTTGTGGGTGTTGAGGTTGGCTTGCCGAGCTGGTTTCTTGTTTCGCAGACGTTTCGTTACCATGCTGGGTAACATCCTCAGTGTAGCCTCCGATGAAGCATCGGTGTGTTTTCCGTCTGGTTTTTAAAATCTGGGGTCTGTTGAGATAGATTGCCTCACTTCTGGTTTTCCTTCGTAGTGGAATGTATATGGGGTCGAGTTCAATGTGTTTATTAATAGCATGTTTCGTGGAGTGCCAGGCCTCTAGGAATGCTCGTGCCTGTCTCTGCCTAGCCTGTCCCAGGATCTTGGTGTTGTCCCAGTTGAAGTGGTGGTTCTCCTTGTCCATGCTACACTTGCCCCCTCACCCCCATCCCAGGCCCCAAGAAGACCTTCCACATCAAACAAATGTTCACCTGCACATCTGCTAATGTGGTATACTGTATTCGCTGTTCCCGTTGTGGCCTCCTCTACATCGGGGAAACCAAGCGGAGGCTTGGGGACCGCTTTGCGGAACACCTACGCTCGGTTTGCAACAAACAACTACACCTCCCAGTCGCAAACCATTTCAACTCCCCCTCCCGCTCCTTGAACGACATGTCCATCCTGGGCCTCCTGCATTGCCACAATGACACCCCCCAAAAGCTGCAGGAACAGCATCTCATATTTCGCTTTGATACCCTTGGGCTGCAGGGTTCCCATGTGGACGTCACAAGCTTCAAAATCTCCCCTCCCCCGACCGCATCCCAAAACCAGCCCTGCTCGTCCCCGCCTCCCCTAACCATTCCTCCCACCTCAAGCCCCACCCCCTCTCCTACCCACTAACTTCATCCTGCCTCGTTGATCTATCCGTCCTCCCTGGACCGACCTATCCCCTCCCTAACTCCCCACCTACACTGATCTTTACTGGCTCCAACCCCGCCTCTTTGACCTGTCTGTCTCCTCTCCACCTATCTTCTCCTATATCCATCTTCTATCCGCCTCCCCCTCTCTCCCTATTTATTTCAGAATCCCCTTCCCCTCCCCCATTTCTGAAGAAGGGTCCCGACCCGAAACGTCAGCTTTCCTGCTCCTCTGATGCTGCTTGGCCTGCTGTGTTCATCACCTAGGTGCTCTACACCTTGTTATCTCAGTATCTAAAATGATACTGCATGTATGTAGCAGAGACTCAGTTGCTTCAATTTTGCATGAGAATGACAGAAAATTTCTTCTTCAATTTGCACAAGGTATCAAGTTTTATTTTGTGAAAGATGCAGAGGTCCTGCACGCTTGTCTTAAAATAGGTGTTTTGATAATTTGCTCAATTTTCAGACAATACACAACTTGGAAGCATTGTGAACTGGTGGACGATAGTGATTTATTTCAAGAAAACATTGACACCATTGAATAGGTGATCATTTGGCAGATGATGTTTAATTTAGAGAAATGTGAAATGATGCATTATGGTAGAAAGAACAAGGGAAGGCAATACAAGCTAAACAATAAAATTCTGAAGGTGTAAAAGAATCTGGTGAATACGTATGTAAATCAGTGTAAGTGGCAGTACAAATTGAGGTCGTGGGGAAAAAGACCAAAGATTTTGAGATTTATGAATAGAGGCTTAGGCTACATAGGCAATAAAGTTATGACATTATTATTCTGCCAAGTTTGCAATATCAGCAATTGTGACTGTTCAATTTTAATAGTCTTTAATCAAGACCAGTATCTCTCTGGTATTCTCAAACTTTGTAACTGTTCTAATTCTTAAGCTTTTAGTGCACCTCTTTCTATGTCTTCCTTTTGCACTATTGCTACCAAATGTTCTAGTTTCTTTCTCCTAAGCATGGAGAATTGTAATTGTCTGTGATACTAATGTTCGCAAATTTCTTGTGTATCTGTTTTCCTCAAAATGTAATTATTAATTGCATATAGAATCCCTACAGTGTGGAAACAGGCCCTTTGGCCCAACAAGTCCACTCTGAGCCTCAAAGCATCCCACCCAGACCCACCGCGCTATAACCCACCTAATCTACACGTCCCTGAATACTATGGACAATTTAGCATGGCCAATCCACCTAGCATGCACATCTTTGGACTGTGGGAGGAAACAGCAGCACCCGGAGGAAACCCATGCAGACACGGGAGAATGTGCAAACTCCACACACAGCTGCCTGCTGCCTGAGAGTGGAATTGAACCCGGGTCCCTGGTGCTGTGAGGTAGCAATGCTAACCGCTGAACCACCGTACCGCCCAACTAATCTTCATTTTGTCTCAAATAGGGGCAGATAATGGCCCAGTAGTATTATCGCTGGACTGTTGATCCAGAGACGCAGATAAAGTTTGAGAACTCTGGTTCGAATCCCACCACAGCAGATGGTGTAATTTGAATTCAAAAAAACCTCTGAATTAAGAGTCTAATGATGACTGTGAATTCATTGATTGCTGGAAAAACCCATCTGGCTCACTAATTTCTTTTAGGGAAGGAAACTGCCACCCTTACCTGGTCTGGCCTACATGTGACTCCAGATCCACAGCAATGTGGTTGACTTTTAGCTGCCCTCTGGGCTGTTAGGGATGGGCTATAAATGCTGCCTAGCCAGTGACACCCTCCTTGCATGGAATTAATAAAGACAAAAAAACAAAAAAATTTGTCTTAAAATCACAGGCTGAATTTTACATTTCCCCGTTGGGGTGTGTTTTGGTGGGTAACATGTAATGCGCAGCACACCACCTTCCCACCCATCCCTGAGCTCACTGCTGTAATAAAGGGGTGAGGGTGGCTCGTGTCTAAATACATAACTAAGGGTCACTTGAGCTTTTAACAAGCTCAGTTCACCCTAATATTACAGGAAGGAATATTGAGAAAGGGTCACCGGACCCGAAAAATTAACTCTGACTTCTCATCGCAGTTGCTGCCAGACCTGCTGAGCTTTTCCAGCAACTTCTGTTTCTGTTTCTGATTTACAGCATCCACAGTTCTTTCAGTTTACACCCTAATATTACTCTGGCCACACAGTAACATGGTTGGAATGAATCGGTAGCCAGTTTTTTAAAGAAAGAACATTATTTTTGGGAGTGTTCTTTCACATCAAGTGTCCACCACCTCCCCACCCCAGCCTTTTTCTCCCCAGCATGGATTTTGAAGTCCACCCCATCATCCCCTTGCTCCCTACCCGAAAGTACTCAAACCCTGTCTGCCCAGTGCCTCTTACTTTGGGTCTGTGAACCATTGGGCCGACATCACCTACAACCAAGCTTATGATCGCTTTTGCCATTGGATGTTTATTAGGTTACCTAAGTAAGAAAATGATTTGCTGTGTTTTATTTCTTTTGACTCTACTGTTGTTTTACATCTTGTTATAATTCTTTTCCTTGATATTTATCATGCACTCTGTTTTGTTGCATAGTTTGCGGATTATTTGTAGATTTTTCTATGTATGTCATAATTATGGTGTCATTCATATGTCTTACATTGTCTATATCTGTGCACCTACTTAAATTCCTGGTAAATGTCTTAAAGTAATTTCACTGTAAAAATTAAAGAGTCTTGTCACACTCTACTTAATACCAGAATAAAGATATCACAAAATATAATTCCACCCATGAACTAACAGAAAAGGAATATAATGTAGCCAAAGAAAAATGTATAATTGGAACAATGTGAAGAAATTAAGTGCTAGAGGAGAATGGCATTTAAATGACATAGAACAAGGTTAAAGAAGTTTCCAACTTTGAAAGCTACTTTCACCAAAGTAGCTGCATCAAAGCAATGGCACAATAATACTGGAGAGAAAATGACATCCTCGGCAGATGGCCTGCGTACAGAAAACTATTCTCTGGTAAAAGAGGGAAAAATCTGCCCACTGCAAAGACGGCAGAACATCCATCAATCGGGAAGCAAAGAATTAATATGAGCTCTTAAGTTATATAAAAAAAGATAAAGATGAGAGAGGAGATAACACCACTCATGGAATGATATTGGAATTACAAGATTTTGGGTATAACATTATGTCAATGCAGGTGAGAGGTTTTATGGAACTTAAAGTTGGAAATGTGAATGAGGTTACTTATTTCGATGGAATCGGAAATTTTGATATGCCAATGGTGTGATGCAGGGCTAATGCCAGTGATTTTTTTTTTTGGCGTGTTCAGCCTCATGCTGTCCTGTGGTGAGTTTGTGCTTTCCATATCTTTGCATGTCATGAATACACATATCAGAACAGATTTATAAAATTATGTTCTACCTTCAAGGTAAAGACAGTGGAGTGCGAGCATCACTTGGTTGCCATCGCCCTCCTTAACCAGTGAACTGGGTTAAATACAGCCTCTCTCGATAAGAACCCACTGAGCCCACTAAATTTAAGTAGAGGCTTCATATCACTCTTCCAGTGGTGGCAAAGCATCTCCTGATTTTAAAAATCAAAAGAACTGCGGATGCTGTAAATCACAAACAAAAATTGAGATTGCTGGAAAGGCTTAGCGGGTCTGTCAGCATCTGTGAAGAGAAATCAGAGTTAACATTTTCGGTTTGGTGACCCTTCCTCAGAACTGATCAGTTAACCCTGATTTTCTCTTCTCAGATGATGCCAGACCTGCTGAGCTTTTCCAGCAATCTCTGTTTTTGTTCCCCTGATTCAAGTCCATTTCACAAGCCACAAGTCGACCTTAAGCACCAGGTGGAACCTTTTATAGTTGTATAATGTTTGATGCTTCAATTCTTTTGCCTTTGTGATATGATTGAGCTAATATGATCATAGAGCAAACACTGCAGTAAAAGTGCATGGACTATATTTGTTTCCATTATTCCTAAGCATGTGCAAAGGAATTCATGATAACTCGTATTTAATACATAAAAAAGAATTAGGACATGGACACGAGAATTATTAACAACTTGCATTTTACTTTTCAGGCATTTACTGAAGCTGCTGGCCAATCCAGTGATGTTTTTCAGAAAGACCAGGCACCTTTTAAAGTAACGAATTGCCTAGGACTTGATGCTTCAGTTTATCCCAGTGATTCATTTATCATCATTGGCAAACATCAAAAAATACCTTATGAACTTAGAAATGGAGAATTTCTCAACATGGATTACCAACAAACCAGTAATGAAAAGGAGCGGCTGTCAAACTTGACTAATGCAAGCAGCAAATTGTTTTACATTTTGTTGAGTAAGTGCATTCTTTTCCTATTTAAAAAAAAAACTAGTAAGAGATAAACCTTAGTGCATTATTTCTTCAATTGTCAAGTGACTATCTTTGTCGTCTGGTTGGCTTTAATTCAATATTATTGTCTTGAAACTGTTGAAACTATTTGCTATCCCTATAACCTGGATCATGCATTTAGTAATACCAACATTGCAGTTGAGAAAATATGCTACCTTGAAACAATGACTTTCACACTGCTGTGACTGGAATTAATTTTGTATCCTCCAATTTGTTTATCATGCAAATAGCTGCCTAATTATAAACAGACAAGTAATTATCTACTAAGTGGCATAATGGCTCAGTGGTAGCAACATTGCCTCACAGCGCCAGGGACGCAGGTTCAATTCCACCCTTGGGCGACTGTGTGAAGTTTTCACGTTCAGCCCATGTCTGCGTGGGTTTCCTCCCTTGGTCCAAAGATGTGCAGATTAAGTGGGTTGGTTATGCCACATTGCCCATAGTGTCCAGGGATGTGCCGGCTGGGTGGATTAGCCGTGGGAAATGCAGACTAGGGTGTTGGTCTGGGTGGAATGCTCTTTGGAGGGTCGGTGCGGACTCTATGGGCTGAATAGCCAGCTTTCACACTATAGGGATTCTGTGATTCCAAGTGATATAAAAGAATATATGATTGATCTGTGGAACGTGATCTAAACCTAATTTAGGGCACTAACAATAACTCATGTCAATTAATGTCTCCAAATATTTCATGAAAAATAAGAATAAAAAGAGGAAAACAGGTGGCAAATGATGGAGATTGAGATTTTTAAAGGTCTGATTTGAGAGAGTTAAGTAAATACCTTTTTGTCATGGGTTTCCAAAGAGCAAAGGGATATTAACTAAAAGGTCAGCCTCTAATGATGTAGCAAGTAATAATTAATAGTCTAAGCGTAAGGAAAAGGGATTGATGAGAAAAGCTATAATACATTAAAAGTTTCGATAGACATGCTGAATAAAATGGTTTGTATAATATCTGGCCTGTTTGTTTGAATTTTCTAAGTTATTGAATTCTGATCTAGTAACATGTAAGTTGGAAGACACTCGAGAAAAAGAATGAGAGAATTATTGGCAAAATCTCAGCTATGTTAGCTCCCAATCTTATTTTCAACTTGCAGTAAATCTATAAAATTACTATTAACCACGCCTGGGCATCTTGTCAGGAGAAAAACATTCTTCTGAAGATGAGCTTCAAGACTGGCATTTTGAATCCTCTTTCTTATGATACTAACTTCTGATATTACTGAAAATGAAATTGAGAAGTCAGCAGCTAGTCCATATGCTGGTTTGTGCATTGTTTCTCCATTTTGAGAGAGTTAAGTACACAGTCTTGTGAGATTTTCAGTGACATCACAGACGCTGACTTGTATAGGGAGTGCACTCTCTACAGTTGCAGTCTCGGAAAGGACAGTCTGGAAAAAGTGGACTTGGAGATATTTCCACTAGTAAGAGAGACTAGGCACTGAGGACCCCATGAAACTAAGAAGAGGAATTTCTTCAGTCGAGAGTGGTAAATCATTGCCACAAGGCAGTGGAGGCCAAGTCACTGAGTGTATCTAAGACAGAGGTAGACAAGTTCTTTATTAGTAAGGAATCAGAGATTACAGGGAGAAGACAGGAAGATAGGGTTGAGAAACATATCAGCCGTGATCAGATTGTAGAGCAGATTCGATGGGTTGAATTCCTGTACTGGCTGAGGTTAGCACAAAGGACTCTGCTAAACCTCTCCCTTCACCCGAGGTGTGGTGACCCTCAGGTTAAATCACCATCAGTCATTTCTCTAATAACAAAGCAACGCTGTGGTCTGGGAGACCCTATGGTGACTTTACCTTAATTTAACATCCCATATTAAAAAAGCCAGCACAGTGGCTCAGTGGTTAGCACTGCTGCATCACAGCGCCAGGGACCCGGGTTCAATTCCACCCTCAGGCGGCTGTCTGTGTGGAGTTTGCACATTCTCTCCTTGTCTGTGTGGGTTTCCTCCAGGTACTCTGGTTTCCTCCCACAGTCCAAAGATGTGCAGGTTAGGTGGATTGGCTAAGCGTAATTGCCCATAGTATTCAGGGGTCTGTAGATTAGGTGGGTTATAGGGGGATGGGTCTGGGTGGGATGCTCCAAGGGTCGGTGTGGACTTGTTGGGCCGAAGGGCCTGTTTCCACACTGTAGGGATTCTGAGTCTATGAATAGTCTAATTTTGCTCCTTTATCTTATGGTGTTTCATTTAAGGATTTAATCATTTGGTAGAAGCAATCCTTTGGATTCTGGCTATTGCGCTATTTAGTATTCAGGGCTGTTAAAGCCTTTCACTAGAATATCTTGGAATCACAAGGAAGGAGTTACTGCTGTATTGTGTTTTACGTAATTTATGTGAAAGTGACCAGACAAGCAGATGAAGACACTTCAGTTGTGAATTACATCAAATGACAGATCAATTCCATGATCTGTTACACCACTTAGAAAAAGAGTTATACTGGAAGCTGGCTTTGCTTCACAAATGCTGCCAGACTTGTGCTTGTGCTTTCTGTTTTTACTCCTTAGCTGTATCTGATTGATGTTCAAGAAGACTTTTAAAGTTCAGCTTTTTTTTTAAAGAGACAAAGAAACTAAAACCTTTTTAAAACCTTTTATAATAGTTTTAATTATTTAAGAAACTGACAAATATACATCATTTAGTGCATGTCCAGGATAGTTTTTGTAAAAGTTGCTTACAGTTTTTTGAAGTTGTGTTGTGCACAAGTTGGGCACAAACTGAAAAAAAAAGTTTAATTTCAGTGACAAAATCCATTTTCAGCTGTATTTTTAAATCAGTGCTGGTTACTCCTCTATTACAAAAAATGCTTGTACATTGGAAGACAGCCTAAAGGTGAAATTTGCACTCATTTGGAGCACAACTGACTTGCATCCAGGTTGGGGCCAAGCTTGTGCTTTCTACACAGGGTGAAGACACTCCTGAAACAAACACACGGAAGGCTGGAGAAACTGAGCAGGTCTGGCAGCATCTGTGGAGAGAAGTAAGAGGTAACATTTCAAGTTTGAGTTCTGAAAAAATGTCATACCAAACTTAAAATTAACTTTATTTTTCTCCACAGATACAACTAGACCTGTTGAGTTTCTCAAGCCTTCTGTGTTTGTTTCAGATTTCTAGCAGCCATGGTATTTGGTTTTTACTCGAGGGCACTTGTGTTTTGCAGAGGTTCGGGTGAGCTAACGGATTGATTTTCATTTTCTAGAACTCCATAAATTTGGGGAAAGTTCCATTCGTTGGGAGATGTCAAATATAATTCCTTCCTTTTAAAAAAGGAAGGAGATAGAAAGCAGGAAAGTATACCAGTTAGCTTAACATCTAATAGAGAAAATGTCACAGGTGGCAATTAAAGATGTTATAACAGGGCACTTAAAAGAATTCAGGTAGTCAAGCAATGCCATCATGGTTTTGTGAAGGGGAAGTTATGTTTGACCAATCTATTGGAGATCTAGTAGGTAAGACTTGATATGGATAAAGGAGAACCAGTAGTTTTACTGAACTTGGATTTTGAGAAGCATTTGATAAAGTGCCTCATCAAAGTTTATTGCAAAAATTAAAATGTCATATTATAGGATGTAACATTTTTGTATGGATAGAAGATTGGCTGGCTAACAGGAAACAGAACGTGGGCATGAGTGGGTCTTTTTCAGGTTAGCAAAATGTAACACCTGTGTCGCAGGGATCAGCTTTGGGAATTCAGCTGTTTACAATTTACATAAATGAATTTGAATGGATGAAAGGTATAGTTGGCAATTTGATGACGACACAAAAGATAGGTAGGAAAGTAAGTTGTGAAGAGGGCATAAAAAGGCTACAACAAGCAATGTACTGGTTAAGTAAATGGGTAAAGATCTGATAAATGGAGTATAATACAGAAAATGTGAATTTTTCCAATTTTGGCAGGAAGAATGAAAAAAAATTATCTAAATGCTGAGAGATTGCAGAAGGATCTGTTTCCTGCTGTATGAATCGCAAAAGGCTAACATGCAAGTACAGCAAGTAATTATGAAAGCAGATAGAAAGTTTCAATTTATTAAGATGAAAATCAAATGTAGAAGGAGGTTATGCTTCTGTTATGCAAGGCACCATTGAGATCACATTTGGTGCACTTTGCACAGAATTTGTCACCTTTTTTTTATTCACTCATGGGACATAGGCATTGCTGGCTGGCCAGCAATAATTGTTCATCCCTAGTTGCCCTTGAGAAGGTGGTACTGAGCTACCACCTTGAACTGCTGCAGTCCATCTGCTGTATGTTGACACACAGTGCCCTTAGGGAGAGAATTCCAGGATTTTGACCCAGTGACAGTGAAGTAACGGCGATATATTTCCAAGTCAGGATGGTGAGTGGCTTGGAGGGAGCTTGCAGGTGCTGGTGTCCCCATGTATCTTCTGTTCTCGGCTTCTTAGGTGGAAGGTGCTGTCAAAGGACTTTTGGTGAATTTCTGCAGTGTATCTTGTAGATAGTACACACTGCTGCTACTGAGTGTCAGTGGTAAAGGGAGTGGATGCTTATGCGTGTGATGCTAGTCAAGCAATCTGCTTTGTCCTGGATAATGTCAAGCTTCTCAAGTGTTGTTGGAGCTGCAGCCATCCAGGCAAATGGGGAGTATTCCATCAGGCTGCTGACTTCTGGCTTGTAGATGGTGGTCAGGCATTGGGAAGTCAGAATGTGAGTTTATCACCATAATATTCGTAAGTTCTGACCTGCTTTTGGAGTCATGATGTGTATATGGTGAGCCTAGTTGAGTTTCTGATCAGTGGTAACCCTCTTGATATTAATAGGGGGGATTTCAATTATGGTAACACCATTGAATGTCAAGGGGTGGTGGCTCGATTGTCTTTTATTGGGGTTAGTAATCACCTGGCATTTGTGTGCTGTGAATGTCACTTGCAACTTGTCAGCCCAAGCCTGGATATTCTCCAGGTCTTGTTGCATTGGAACATGGACTGCTTCAGTATCTGAGGAATTGCGAATGGTGCTGAACATTGGGCAATCATTGGCTAACATCCTCGCCTCTGACATTACGATGGAGGAATCTCATTTAATGAATCAGCTGGAAATGGTTGGGCTTAGGATACTGCCCTGAGGAACTCCTAAAGGGATGTCCTGGAGCTGAGACGACTAACCTCCAGCAGCCACGACCATCTTTCTTATGTGTCAGAAATGACTGCAACCCCTTGATAGCCATTGATTCCATTTTAACCAGGTCTCCCTGATGTCACACTCTGACGAATGCAACCTTGATGTCAAGGGCTGTCACTCTCAGTTCACCTCCAAGATTTAGCTGTTTTGTTCATGTTTGAACCAATGCTGTAGTGAGGTCAGGAGCTGAATGCCCCTGGCAGAACCCAAACTGGGCGTCACTGAGCAGGTTATTGCTGAGCAGGGTGCTGCTTAATAGCATTGTTGATGACAATCTTCCATCACTTTACCAATGATCAAGAGTAGACTGATGGGGCAGTTATTGGCCAGGTTGGATTTGTCCTGTTTTTTGTGTACAGGACATACTTGGGCAATTTTCCACATTGTTGTGTAGATACCAGTGTGGTAACTGTACTAGAACAGCTTGGAATGGGGAGTGGCAAATTCTGGAGCACAAATCTTTGGTACTATTGTCCAAATGTTATCAGGGCCTGTAGCCTTTGCAGTATCCAGTGTCTCCAACCGTTTCTTGATATTGCGTAGAGTGAATCGAATTGGCTGAAGACTGGTATCTGTAATGCTGGGGACCACTGGATGAGGCTGAGATGGATCATCCACTCAGCACTTCTGGCTGAATGTACACTGTGAAACATTAAGCTTTCCAGAGTCATAGAGCTTTACAGCATGGAAACCGACCCTTTGGCCCAATTCATCCATGCTGACCAGACATTGTAAATAAATCAAGTTCCATTTGCCTGCATTTGGTCCATTATCCCTCAAAACCCTTCCTATTCAAATAACCATCCAGATGCCTTTTAAATGTTGTAATTGTACCAGCCTCCTCCACTTCCTCTGGCAGATCATTCCATACACTCATCACCCTCTGCATGAAAAAGTTGCCCCTTGGGTCCGTTTTATATCTTTACCCTGTCACCTTAAACCTATGCCCTCTAGTTTTGGACTACCCCAGGGAAAAGACCTTGTCTATTTACCCTATCCATGCCTCTCATGATTTTATAAACCTCTGTAAGGTCCTCCCTCTGCAGAGAAGGTAGCCTCCGCCTATTCAGCTTCTCCCTATAGCTGAAACCCTCCAATCCTGGCAACATCCTTGTAAATCTTTTCTGAACGCTTTCAAGTTTAATGACATCTTTTCTATAGCAGGGAGACCAGAATTGCACGCAGTATTCCAATAGTGGCCTAACCAATCTCCTGTACTGCTGCAACATGACCTCCTAACTCCTGTACTCAATGCATTGATCAATAAATGCAAGCATACCCAACACTGCCTTCACTATCCTATCTACCTGCAACTCCACTTTCAAGAAATTATGAAACTGCACTCTAAGGTCTCTTTGTTCAGCAACACTCCCCAGGACCTTAATGTTAAGTGCATTAATCCTGGCCCGATTTTCCTTTCCAAATGTTGCACCTCTCATTTATCTAAATTAAACTCCATCTGCCACTCATTGGCCCATCTGATCAAGATCCTGTTGTACTCTGAGGTAACCTTTTTTGCTGTCCATAACACCTCCAATTTGCAACCTTACTAACCGTACCTTCTACGTTTCACATTCAAATCATTTACATACGTGACAAAAAGCAGTGCACCCAGCATTGATCCTTGAGGCACCTCGCTGGTCACAGGCCTCCAATCTGTAAAGCAACCCTCTACCACCACCTTCTGTCTTCAAGCCAGTTCTGTATTCCCGTGGCTAGTTATCCCTGTATCCCATGCAATATAATCTTGCTAACCCGTCTACCATGAGGAACCTTGTCAAACACCTTAGTGATATAGATCACGTCCACCTCTCTGTCCTCATCGGTCCTCTTTGTTACTTCTTCAAAAAACTCAATCAATTTAATGAGACACGATTTTCCATGAACTATCCCTAATCAGTCCTTGCCTTTCCAAGTACCCGTAAATCCTGTCCCTCAGGATTCCCTCCAACAACTTAGCCCGCCACTGATCTCGTGTTCCCAGTCTATAATTACCTGGCTTTTCCTTACCATGTTTCTGAAATAGTGGCATCATGTCAGTCAAGCTCCAGTCTTCTGGCACCTCACCTCATAGAATCCATATGGTGTGGAAACATGCTATTCGACCCAACAAGTCCACACCAGCTCTCCAAAGAGCGCCCCACCCAGACTAACACAATCCCCCTCTGCAGGTTATCCCTGTAACTCTGAATTTCCCATGGCTAATCCACCTGACCTACACATCCCTGGACACTATATGGGCAATTTAGCATGACCAGTCACCTAGCCTGCACATCTTTGGACCATGGGAGCAAACCGGAGCACTTGGAGGAAACCCATGCAGACATGGGAGAACGTGCAAACTGCACGCTTGCAGTTGCCCACGGCTGGAATTGAACCCAGGTCCCTAGCACTGTGAGGCAGCTGTGCTAACCACTGAGCCACTGTGCCACCTGTGGCTACCGATGACACACATATGTCAGCAAGGGACCAAGCCGTCACTTCCCTAACTTCCCGCCGAGTTCTAAGGTACACCTGATCAGGTCCCAGAGATTTATTCACCTTCGTGTTTTAAGACATCTAGCGCCTCCTCTTTTGCACTGATGTGCTGGGCTTTTCCATCATTGAGGATTGGGATGTTTGTGGAGCCTCCTCCTCCCATGAGTTGTTTAAGTGCCCACCACCATTCATGACTGGATATGCCGGGACTGCAGAGCTTAGATCTGATCCGTTGGTTGTTGGATCGCTTAGCTTTGTTTGTCACTTACTGCTTATGCTGTTTGGCATGCAAGTAGTCCTGTTTGGCTTCACCAGGTTGAAACCTCATTTTCAGGTATGCCTGGAGCTGCTCATGACATGCTGTCCTGCACTCTCCATTGAACTAGGGTTGACCCCCTAGCTTGATGGTAATGGTTGAATGGGGGATATGCTGGGCAATGAGGATACAGATTGTGCTGCAGTACAGTTCTGTTGTTGATGGCCCACACCGCCTCATGGATGCCCAGTTTTGAGTTGCTAGATCTGTATGAAGTCTGTCCCACTTAACATGGAGTTCATGCCGTTTGACACACGAGGTTATTCTCGTGAAGGCGGGACTTTAGCTCCACAAGGACTGTGTATTGGTCACTCTTACCAATACTGTTATGGGCAGATGAATCTGCAGCTGGCAGATTGTTAAGGAAAAGATCAAGTATGTTTTTCCCTCTTGATGGTTCCCTCACCACCTGCTGCAGACCCAGTCTAGCCGCCATGACCCTTAGCACCTGACCAGCTCGATCTGTGATACTGCTGCCTACCTACTATCAGTGGTGGACGTTGAAATCCCCCACCCAGAGTGCATTTTGTGCCCTTATCATCTTCATTGCTTTCTCTAAGTGTTGTCCACCATGGAGGAGTACTGATTCATCGGAGGAGTACTGATTCATCAGCTGAGCAAGGACGGTATGTGGTAATCAGCAGGAGGTTTCCTTGCCCATGTTTAACCTGTAGCCAGGAGATCTTGTGGGGTCCGGAGTCAATGTAGAGGGCCCCAGGGCAGTTTCCTCTCGACTGTATACCACTGTGCCACCACCTCTGCTGGGTCTGTCCTGCCAGTTGGACATGGCATATCCAGAGATGGTGATGGTGGTGTTTGGGACATTGTCTGAAAGGTATGATTATGAGTATGACTGTCAGGCTGTTGCTTGACCAGTCTGAGACAGCTCTCCCAATTTTGGCACTAGCCTTCAGATGTTAGTAAGAAGGACCTTAAAGGGTTGACAAGGCTGTTTCTGCCATTGTCTTTTCCAGTGCTGAGGTTAATGCCAGGCGATCCATCCGGTTTCGTTTCTTTCAGACTGAGTAGCAATTGGTATAACTGGCTTATTTTTTCAGAGGGCACTTGAGAGTCGGCCACATTGCTGTGGGTCTGGATGGCAGATTTCCTTCCCTGAAGGACATCAGTGAACCAGATGGGTTTTTCCGACAAAAGGCAATGATTTCATGGTCATCAGTAGATTCTTAATTCCTGATTTTTTTTTTTATTGAATTCAAATTCCACCATCTGCCGTGGCAAGAATTGAACCAGGGTGTCCAGAACCTTTGAGTTTCTGGATTAATAGTCTAGCGATAACACTAGGCCATTTCCTACATTAGGAAAGTTTAAGGCATATCTTGATGGGCACATGATCGGCATTTGAATAGAGGGATAGAAACCACGTATGAGCATTAAGTAGCAGGCCTAAGTAAGGATTAGGAATCAGCGCAGGCTTGGTGGGCTGATGAGCTGTTTTGTATTGCATTGCAATCTCCGTGTCGTCAGTTGATGGCCGAGTAAGAAGGCTGCCTGCTGCTAAGTTTTACTTAAGGCAGGGTTGCATTATTATTAAGTAATTTATGCTGTAAATAAAGTGTAACAGTGATGTCTGTCCTCTGCATTATTTAGTGTGTGTTTCCACACTGATTATGTGGACCTCTTGATCGACTGGAATGTTGGATAAATCGACATGTTCCTGGTCCCATAGGTGGTAGTCAATAATACGCTTGCTGTACTTTATTAAAAATAAGTTGCTTAAAAGATGACAAAAGTATATTTGGAAACTCGTGAATAAAGTATACTTACGTGTATATATTTGCAGTTTTATGTAGAAATTAACTGCTGAGAGGCAACTATAGTCAATTCTACTTTGTAATCTGGAGTGAATAAGAAATTAAATGTATTCGAGAGCAAATGAGAAATATGTATCATCAAAAATCCTTTCCTGTTAACTTTTATTACGTGTAGCTCCTGAAGGCCACACTCGTGCAGATAAAATTCCATTAACTAAGTTAGGTCGTCGACTGTACACTGTTATGCATGAAGAATCGACTGTTGAACGATCCTTTGTATGTCAGATTGATGCTGTACAAGGAAGAAAAAAAATAACAATCCGTTCTCCTGTTCAGGTAAGCTTTGTATTTCGTGTAGAATTTGGCTGCTATTTAAATATGTGAAAGCTTTTAATGCATGGTACTCCTTTTTAGTTGTGTTACTTCATACAACTATGTGTTTTGCAGAAAAGTATGAACATAAATTGGAGCAAAAAAGCCCAATTGGGTTGCACATAGTCAGGGGCTGAAATAGTCCCTGTATAAGATTCCCTGACATGGGCAACCATAACCTGTTCTGAGCTTTTCAAATTTGAAAGACAACGTCTGGCAAGGACTGTAATATTCAACCAGTGTGAATCCAAACTAACAGGGCATGCGCAGATCACCTGAGAAAACCTGGTGGCTTCAATTTGTACAACAGAGGTTGTCCATATTCTGCTTCACTGAAGAAAATTTAGTCGGTCAGGGCAATGATTATTTTTTACATATTATGTTTCATAGAATGAAACAAAAATTTATAGTGTTTTCCATGGAGGAATCTGAACAGCAATTGATTAAGCCCTGACCAATATTAGTTATTCAATGATCAACAAAAGCACATTATATGGCATCATCAGATTGTTCTTTGTGGGAGTTATAGTATAGAGGTATATAGCATGGAAACAGACCCTTCAGTCCAACTCGTCCAACCAACCAGATATCCTAAATAAATCTAGTCCCATTTGCCAGTATTTGGTCCATACCACTTCAAACCCTTCCTAGTCATTTACCCACACAAATGCCTTTTAAATGTTGTAATTGTACCAGCCTCCTCCACTTCTTTTGGCAGCTCATTCCATACTCGCATCACCCTCTGCGAGAAAAAGTTTCCCCTTGAGTCCCTGTTAAATCTTTCCTCTCTCACCTTAAATCTATGCCCTCTAGTTTTGGACTCCCCCAACCTGGGGAAAAGCCTTTGTCTATTTACTCCATCCGTGCCCCTCATGATTTTATAAACTTCTATAAGGTCACCCCTTAACCTCGAACACTCCAGGGAATATAGCCCCAGCCTATTCAGCCTCTCCCTATAGCTGAAACCCTTCAACCCTGGCAACATCCTTGTAAATCTTTTCTCATCCATTTTAAGTTTCACAACATCCTTCCTACAGCAAGGAGCCCAGAACTGCATGCAGTATTCCAATAGTGCCTAACCAATGTCCTGTACAGCTGCAACGTGACCTCCCAGCTCATATACTCCATGCACTGACGAAGCATGCCAATGCCTTCTTCACCATCCTATCTACCTGCAACTCCGCTTGCAATGAACTATGAAACTGCACTCCAAGGTCTCTTCGTTCAGCAACACCCTCCCAGGACCTTACCATTTGAGTGTATTTATCCTGCCCTGATTTGCCTTTCCAAAACGCAGCACCTCACATTTATCTAAATTAAACTCCTTCCACCTCTCGGCCCAGTGGCCCATCTGATCAAAATCCTGTTGTATTCTGAGGTAACCTTCTTCACTGTCCACTACATCTCCAATTTTGGTGTCATCTGCAAACTTATTAACCATACCTTCTATGTTCACATCCACATCATTTTATATATATGACAAAAAGCAGTAGAACCAGCACTGATCCTTGTGGCACACCACTGGTTGTGTGCATATTGCCCCATTTCCTACGTTACCACAGTGATTCCACCTCAAAAGTACCTCATTTACTGTTTCTTGCCTTGAGACAGCTGGTTATAGTAAAAGGCGATATTTAAAAGCAGTTTTTTAATCTTTCAGTTTGTCTTTTGGGTCTGCCTCCCTGGTCTCGCTTCGCCTGCCTGTTTGGTCTAGTTTGTCTTGTCTGTCCTCTCTGACCTATTCCCTTACAGGGTGGGGGGAAATTGGTACCAATGCCCTTGGTTGTTTGCCAGTCTACCAACATGTCTGATGTTTCTTATTATAGTGTTGATTATCTTAGAAACTTTATGCTACATCAGAAAAATTGAAGCTAGTAAGATTGACCTAATTTCATTTGAAGACAACTTTGGGAAAGGTGATACTTCAAGTAGTATTGTGTTGTATGAACACATCTTGAAGCAATATTGCACTGATGTATATACTACTGATATGAGGTGCCAATTAATGATGCAAATATGCAGTATGGATATAGTTGGAATCTATTGAATTTATAATGTTTTAATTGAATTCAACTTGCATTTACATTACAGATAAAGAACCATTTTTCAGTCCCTTTCAATGTATTGGAAGATTTGGAGTCTTATCTGAAGATACTTGGTACAATACAGCCAAATGAAGAGTTCAATGTTCCTCTGCTCTCTTATAGGTTAGATCTCTGTCTAAGCATTTTATTTTGTAAGGAACAATTTGTATGAAGTTAATAAGTATTCTTGTCTTACAGTATTCATGCAAGAGCCTGAGAGAGAATTAATTTCTTATCACTTATTTTATAACTGAATCAAACAGGTTTTACTTGTTTTTGTTTAGACAGGGGTGGTTTAATTAAAATGGCTTCACTCACAACTGTATAAGTGTGTGGGAGATCTGCTGTTGTGATATGCCACGCTTTTCTGGCTGGGTAGTCCTCCCATCCACTGCAGATGTCTGCAACAAAAACAGAAATTACTGGAGCTACTTAGCAGGTCTGCAGCATCTGTGGAGAGAAAGGAGAGCCAATGTATTGGGTCCAGTGACACTTCATCAAGTTAACATTTTGAGTTCAGTATGACTCCTCTTCAGACCTGGGAGAACAGAATAGAAAAGCCATACTAGAATTGAAACTCTGTATTTCTCTCCACAGATGTTGCCAGACCTGTCAATGTTCTCCAGTATTTATATGTTTGACTTTTCTTTAGCACATTCTACGTTAACATATCCTTGTACACCACTCGCTAAAAATAAGCATGTACGTGCAGCACGCAGTGAAGAAGAATTAGTGTGTTGGCTATCATAGTGAGAGAATGTGAGTACAGGAGCTAGGATGTCTTGCTACAATTGTGCAGGGTCTTGGTGAGATTGTACCTGTCCTATTATGTCCTATTAGCTTTGGCCTCCTTATCTGAGGAAGGATGTTCTAGCTATGTAGGGAGTACAACAAAGGCTTAGCAGACTGATTCCTGAGATGCTAGGACTGACACAAAAAGAGAATAGTGCTAACCATTGCACATACTCACTGAGCTTAAAAGAATGAGGGACGATCTCTCCGAAACCTATAACGTTCTAATGACTAGACACAATAAACATAAAGTATGTTCCTGATGACTGATTGGGGAGTCCAGAACCAGGTGTCACAGTCTAAGGGTACAGGATAGGCCATTTAGAACTGAGATGAAGAAAAATGTCTTCGCTAACAGAATGGTGAGCCTGTGGAATTCTGCACCACAGAATGCAATGAGGTCAAAAAATTGGATGCTTTCAAGGAGATAAATATGCTTAATCATAGATCACAGAATCCCGATAGTGTGAATGCAGGCCATTTAGCCCATCAAGTCCACACCAATCCTCTAAAGAGCATCCCACCCACCTACCCTATCCCTGTAACCCTGCATTTTCCATGGCTAATCCACCTAACCTACACATCTCTGGGCACTATGGACAATTTAGCAGGGCCAATCCATCTAATCTGTACATTTCTGAACTGAGAAGAAGCCTGAGCACCCAGCAGAAACACACTAAGACATTGGAAAAATGTGCAGTCTGCACACAGTACTTGCACAAGGGTGGAATTGAACCTGGATCCCTAATGCTGTGAGGCAGCAGTGCTAATCACTGACCCACCATGCTACCCCAACCTCTGAGCTAACTGTGCATCCCTCAGTTCTTGGGGCTAAAGTGATCAAAGCAGGA